ACATGTAAAAATTTCCTGTAAGATAGCAATGTAAGAATGTGGGCCTACAACAATATCAGTACAGAAGAGAGCTGGCAATTCCCATTGCCAAACTGGAACTAGATTCCCTAACCTGAAAAAATGAGTCATTTCATAGGAAAAGACACAGTGCAGCAAAAACGTTTTGGCACCAATAAATTGTTTCTAAAAATAGGATTGTTTAAATTTTCAAATAATTTTGAGGGTCAGCAGCACCCAAAGCTTGATTAAATCAAATCCAGTCCCAAACTACATTTTCTCCAATATCTTATTTATCTTGTTACTGCAAGAAAAGGCCTACCACAATTCATTAGACTATATTTGCCATTTTTAAAAAGTTATTAATGATTCTATTCATTCATTCAATTATTTCCATTGAAGGGAAAAAAACACTTACTTGCTTGAAGCTTCAACTGATGCAGATTCTGTGGACAGACTGCTGACTGGGCCCAGTTATTGGGAATATGTAACACCTTTATACACAACAGCTTAACTCACTGCTGGTTGATTTCCAGGCTAAGTCAAGATGATGGTCATGGCCTTTAAAGCCTTATGGAAGCAATCATATACACATTTAGACAGGAAAATGTCCGACAACTCCCAGAATCCTCTATGTGCTTGGGAATGGAAATAAGTCAATGAATGCTGGGAATTGTGGAAGGTTTTTTCTGTCTAAACATTCACATGCTTGTAGCTTGGAATCAAGTTATCTGAAGGACAATTTTCTCCAAAAGAAACCTGCCTAGAGTTTTAAGATCTTCAGAACAGTCATTCCTCTGCATCCTGCTTACAGCTAAACTACATTTGATGGGACCTTTTTAATGGCTGCCCCCAAGGCCTTCCTTGCTTTATTTATATTCCATGTCCCATGGCATAACCGCCCTCGCAAAGTGAGGCACACAATTTCCTAAGATTCTCCTCCTCAAGCCATGATAACACACCTTCAAATTAGAACCACACAACCCAATTAAACCACATTACATCTACATGAAATTGAGCATAAATAACATTATCACAACAATGCATAAAACAAGCAACAGTCTAAAATACAAATGTTTTAAAGAGTTCTCTTAAAACTTTCCAAAAATTGGATTACAATTTTCTAAGAAGAAAAATCCATAGCTACAGGGACACTAATGAAAATGCCCTGTTGATATTACCCATCAACATAATATCTCCTGCTGACAGCAAATCAGTTGCTGATTTAAAAAACCTTGAGCTAGGTCACTGATAATAATGCTCAGTGGCCAGTGGCCCTTTGGATCCTGGTCCCAACAGGATTGCAGCTTTAAAGGCCAGTATGAATACTTTAAATGGGGCCCAGAAAACTTCATTCTGCCCCAACTGAAGTATTTTTTAAATGCAGACCCACATAGAGTACATTACTGGTTGAAAACAGACAAGAGGTCACTGTAGGAAAGCCCATACTTTCCAGTTAAGGCTGCAGGTGACCCAGCTAAAACTGATATGACGTTTCCTGGCCACTGATGTCACCTGTGTCTTCATCAACAGTGCAGAACTGACACATACAAGATGGTGTATTGTGACTCTTCAGGGGAAGTGCAACTCCACCAAAGACAGGCTCTGCAAATTCATCCAGATCATTGGGTTGTCCAACTCTCAGGATGGATGTCTTGCCAGGATTAGCTTGTCTTCCTTCATCCATCCCAAAACTGTCTCTAGATATGTATTCGCAACTTCTATTGTGGAGCTGCTTTTTTGTTCCCTAGGACTAAAGATAGAGTTGCATGTCATCTGTATACTGTTGACAAAACAGACCAAACCTCCAGATGAATTTTCACACTGCTTCTGTTTCTGAAGTTCAGAAGGGAGTGTGGGTCCCCATGCAGCTAAAATGGCACTATCTATGCACAAGAGGGAGGTACAGGCAGGCTGGAGTTTTGCATATGCACAACTGAGGGGAAACCACCCACAATGGCCAGATACACTTGTTTAAACCTGGTGCATCTGTAATTCAGCCAGGAGACATTCCTGGCTGATCCTTAAAGTCATTATGAAAAAAAAGTCGGAGGATAGCACCAAGCCACCAAAGACTTTGTGGTTCAAAATCAGTTCCTTGGGTTGTGTCCAAAAGAAAATGGAGAACCACAGCAGGTAAGTGGAGCACAAGCATATACCTTCTTTCCTGCTGTGCAAAGGTGAGCTGGCACATTCTACACAAGCTAAGCAGTTATCAAGGGCAACCTAAATAAGGAGGTTATAGAAATCTAGCCCTGAGATTACAAAGGCATACATTGCAATTGCCATTGCCTAATTACACAGGCATCTGAAAAATACATCTGCCAGCCATAATTATTTCAGTTTAATTCTAGTCCACCTCCTGTTAGCTTGCTTGTTCTCAAAATGTCACCATGGCCAGAAACACTGGTATTGAAGGATCCAAGTCACATAGAAAAGAGAGAAAGTTGTATCCCATCAGCATCAAGATTCCAACCAGACCTTTGTGCAAACTCACCAAGAAAGCTCTAACACAGCCATATGGTGTGTGGACAAGATGAAACATTTTAGAGCTACCTAGGACAGATCATGGAAAGGGAAATGTGCAGATGAGCATCATTACCTTCTTTCTGTCTCTTAACCAAACTAGAACAAAAGTAGCCTTTTCCAATACGGACCTTCCAGAAGTGTGAACTACAACTCCCATCAGTCCCAATCAACATGGTCAAAGGCCTGGGATATTGGCAGTTGTACTCAAAAACATCTAGAGGAACCCAGGCTGTGGAAGAGTGATTGTGAGCTATAGAGAGCTAGAGTGATCATGTCCCTGAAAGCAACAGTGCTGAAGGCTTCAGAAAAGTCTGGAATCACTAATACCAAGCAACAAGTTGTTTTAAATTAACACATATTGACATAAAATGCAACTTCTGAGACTTTTTCTAACTAAGCAATTGCAAATGTAAATAGTAGGAGTGACAAATGTTAGAGGCATCTTTTAAAAATAAAAGTCTCATGTCTTTAATGGACAGAAATGTAAAGGTGGAAATCCCATTGAAATGTAATGCAATGCACTAGTACAAATACAAATTAAGTTACCACCTGGTCCACTTTAGTTCTATAATTTTCCCTATTTTATTTTCATTCCCCCTTTTACCCAATGCTAAGACTATTGTTGCTTAGCATCTCCAAATGAATGGCCTTTAGCACATGAAAGTGGACATCACACTGCTCTAGATGCTTTAACATTTGTGTACTTTGGTATACACTTTCTTTCACTAAGCTGCTCACCACTTCTCTACCTTGGCCACTGCATTTCAAACGTTTCTCTAAAAGACGTTGGCATAGCCTGTTTTTTCCCCTCTGTTGAGCAAGCACGTGTGTGAGTGATACAATGGGAGAGAGGAATGGGAGGAAAGAATGTATGAAAGGCTTAAGTCAGTCTAGAACTTGTGACGTATTCGTATTAATTAAATAAATGTGCACCATCTACTTTATGCAGGGCTCACTGCTGAGACAATTATGCCAGCAAAAAAGCTTTGTCCCCTAAACAGACGCGGTAGGGTCCCACTTTTCACTGGATATGAAAAAAGAATGCTTTAAGATCCAATTGTCTGATGAACTTAAGATGCAATCCTATGCGTATTTAAACAGGAAAAACCGCCACACGTCCCAGTGTTCCTTGGCCAACCATGCTGTAGGGACTGCAGGGCTATTTTCTGTCTCAACATGCATTACACTGGCAGACTACAATTTTCTACCTTCTTATTGCAGAGTAAGCCCCATTGATCTCAACGTGGACTTACTTCCAAGCACAGGATTGCACTAGAAACCTATGTGCATTCACTTAGGAGTATATTCCACTGACCACAAGGCAATTTACTGCTAAGTAAACTCGGTTAGGACAGGGCTGCAAGCCTGATTAGGACCAGAACCATTCTTTGTACCATCACAGTTGCTAAGACAGAACAGAATCAACCCGGAGCCATGCACTGCAAAAGGACCTGGGAATCAACCATTCTAACAACTTTCCAACCAAGCCAACTGAAAGTATAAGTACAAGGGTTAAACCGTGTTAAGGGAGTTATAATCCCCTCTAAACAGTATTACACACGCTTTCTAAGGAACGGCTACCCAAGGAAGGTGACAGTTAAAGGGTTAATCTTGGAGGAGTGGAGCCTTCCACGCATCCAGCACCTCCGTTTAGGATGGAAACAGTAGGTCTAGGGTAGGGTGCCTTCGTCCTTTAAACATCAAAATGCCATATGGCTTCAAATGTGTGTGTATTGGGGGAGGGGGGCATACACTTTAAGCCATTTGGAAGTTAAGAATCCAAACTGCAGTTTGTCAAACGAATATACTTACTATTCTACCACAATGATTTCATAGATGGCGGAACAAGCCTGTTTACTGCTTGCAAGAAGTTTTAGGTAAATCCACTCGAAAAGCAACTTTAGTAAAACTAAAAACTGCAACCAAACACAAAAGCATCGCCAACGAGAGCCGCTCTACGTTTAATTTCCATTAACATCACTAGGAGAAGGAGGCAAGCGAATACCACAAATCCCACTAATTTAAAAGCCAGAGACGTGTCTGCACGGAGGAAAGGCTGAGGGAAGAGCGCTACAGGAGGGGGATAATTTTCCTTTCTGCAGTCTTTTCAGCCCATTAAGACAATGCACAAGCAGCAAATTAAAAGAGAGAGAAATATCTTGAAAAGAAAAAGGCAGAACCACCCTTTGGTAATCATGAGGAATAGAAAAATCCATGCACTGCAACCAGTACCGTATGGAAAATGAGAGGGAGATCGCGTTTAACTGTTTTAGAAGAAAGTTTCTGAAGGAAAGAAAGTTGGAATTTTTGCTACGGACTGATGCCTGGAAAAGCAATCTCGCCCGCTTGCTTACGGAACAAATTGGCCGGGAGTCGCGTATGACAGAAACCGAATTCAAAAGAGAAAGGGAAAGGGGCCAGCTGCCCTTCAGGAGAAATGCCCCTCTCCCAGCCCCCCCCCCGCAGCCATTTACCTGGGCCAGGCGAAGTCCCCCCCAGGCTGCCGCTGCCGCTACCCGCACAGAGTCTCTCGTCTCCCGCAGCCAGCCAGACTGACCCAAAAGGGTCTTCCCGCCCTCTTCGCCGCCGCCGCCGCCGCCTCTTCCAGCTAGCCGCCTGCTGGTGCCTCTTCCCAAGTTGGCGGGCTCCCTCCACTCGCTCACTTTGCTGCGGGGCAGCCGCAGAGGGGCGGCGGCGGCGGCGGCGCACGCAACATCATCCTCTGCCCCGCGCTGCTGGGGGGGGGGGCAAAGCTGTGGGGGGGGGAGCGCGGTTTTCCTGAGAGGCTGCAAGAAGGTGAAGCTGCCGCAGCTGTGCTCAGTCGAACAAAGCAAGAAGGAACACGCAGCAGGAGCAAGGACGGGCTGTGGGGCACCGCCGCTGGGCGGGCGCCCTCGCCTTGTGGGTGGGGTGCTTGCCTCGAGCGCCCTCCTCCGCCCCACCTGGCGGGTGGCCACCTTCGGCTTGCAGCCCTTCCCGCCCACAGGCGGGCCCGCGAGCGGGGGCGCCTCCTTCTCCCTGCGGCGTTGGCGCCTTGGCTCACCTGCCTGGCGGCCTCCCTCTCTCTCCCTCTCGCATGCCCGCCCGCCCGCCGGCCGCGGCTCCTGGGCTTGCGCCAGCCTCCCCGCGCGCGGGCTCGCTCTGCAAGGCTGTGCCACCCGCCCCGCAGCTCACCCTTTTTGCCTTCCGTCACCCTAGCTGACCCTAGGCACCAGCGGGCGCAAGAAGAACGCGTTCAGGGCATCGGAAGGGTGGCGAGACCATTATGTGGGAGCAAAGATTCGAGCCACGATGCGCGGGGCTTTAATGCCATCACTGCGAAAGCAAACGAATTTGGGGGGAGGGGAAGGCGAGCGTCTGCTACCCACTGGAGCCACCTCTCCCTGCAGATCCGGGAAAATAAAGCGCTCCTGCACCCCACACTTGTAACCCATTCTTCAAGAGTTTGTTTCTCTGGTTACTGTGAAGTACGAAGGCATATGAATTTGCCTCCTTGTCTTTGCAACTTCATTGGCCCTGCTCCTTTTTGTTACTGGCATCCTCCACCGCTAGGATGTGCCCACCCAGAGCTCCTCCAAAATTGAATGTGGTCATTGCCTGTCTTGCACTGTTACTTGCATGATGCTCAAAAGCGGCTCTGGGAAGTTTGAAGCTTGCCTTGCCTCTCTCCACAGAAAGTGGTGCCCTGCTGTGTATGCAGGCAGATCCCCTTTTGTTTTCTGAGAAAAGCAATGAAAAAGTTAGAGGAAATTAAGGAGCACAGGTTCTCCTTGGATATTTCTGCTTTCCTCCTTATGCCCCCTCCTCCAGAACGTCTACTTTTGCAATCAAAAATCCACCTCTGGCTTTCACATGGAAGATTTTGTATCCCCCTCCCCCTTTTACACAGGACATGTGCTCAGTGTTCTCATCAGCACCACCAGAACTTATATCTCACTGATAGTTTCACACTGAATGTCTATTGTCAGTGTGTGAGACAGTGCGAGACGGAAGCTGAAGCAGTTCCACAAGGGCAACCAGGTGCCTGTAGAAAATCCACAAACCAGACAATGAAAGCAACTCATGCTTCCTTTAATCACCACAGACAGAATATTGCTTTCATGACTTGCAGCTATGAATAGCCTTATCTTCCATGAATTTATCTAATCCATTAGCCATCTAAATTGGTGGCCATCACCACATCTTGAGGAAGCAGGTTTGCTTCTTGAACAGGTTTTGTTCCTTTTTTTGTCCTGGACCCTCCACTATTCAGCTTCATGGGATGAGCCAGGTTCTAGTATTGTGAAGGAAGAAACAACTCTCTATGCCATGCATAAATGTTCTATCATGGCCCCCTTCCCCTTATTCACTCCCCTCCCCAAACTAGCTCCAGATGTAACCTGTCCTTCTAAGAAAGCTGCTTCAGCCACCTGATCATTGTGTGCATGTTGCCTTACACAGGAATTCTACATCTGAGCAGACTAAATGTGAGGAGCGGGAGCATGTAAGCCTGCTCATTGGTCCTGTGATTCTGCTGCCATTTACCCACGGAGTGTGACTTTCTGAAGATAAGGCCCTGCTATATCAGCAGAGGTTTTCCATTTGATTTTGGACACTCATCTTCCAGCATGGCGTGGAGATCCTACACAGATGTAGAAGGCGCTCCACAAGGTTGGTCTCCACAAGTAGAGGAAGACGGAAACAAGTGAGGAGTAGGTTGCCATGCTCTGCTGCCTCAAACATTTAATTTGCTCTACTGCAGAACACATGAATAGGACTTGCATGGAGATTCCCATGCTGCTATGCCCTTAGTATTGAATTTATGCCAACAATTGAATTGTGAGATGGAGTCACCATACGCTAGATTGACTTCTCACATTGTGAATACCTCTCACTGACCAGAAGATAACTAATGATACAATGAAGTCACTAGGATTTTGGATTTGTGGTTTTTGATTGCACTCCTCACCTCCTGCCCCCTCTATGCTGCACAGCAAATAAAATGTAATATGCCTTGGAGTAAAAAAGAAAGCAAACAAACACCAGGCACTCATAAGCCCTTGGGTACACCTAAACCAGCTTTTTGGATGCTAGCTATGATATTGGATGCTGGCCGAGGTAATGGGCTGGATGAGGGCCAATAAACTGAAGCTCAATCCAGACAAGATGGAGGTCCTGTTGGTTGGCGGATCGGGCTGCGGAGAGGGTGGATTTGACCTTGTCCTGAATGGGGTTGCACTCCCTCTTAGGGACAAGGTCCGCAGCTTAGGAGTACTCCTCGACCCGGAGCTTTCATTGGAAGCTCAGGTGACAGCGGTGGCAAGGAGCACTTTCCTTCAGCTTTGGCTGGTTCATCAGCTGCGCCCCTACCTGGAGTACGACTGCCTGGCGACGGTGACACACGTGCTGGTGACTTCCCGACTGGACTTCTGTAACACGCTTTACGTGGGGCTACCCTTGAAGACGGTCCGGATACTTCAATTGGTTCAAAATAGAGCTGCCGGGCTGCTGACAGGGACTGGGCGTTATGTTCACATGACTCCAGTTCTCCGTCAGCTTCACTGGCTTCCCATTGAAGTCCGGGCCCAATTCAAGGTGTTGGTGATGACCTATAAAGCCCTAAACGGCTTGGGTCCTGGTTACCCGAAGGAGCGCTTACATCCATATATGCCCGGCCGCCCCTTGAGATCTGCGGGAGAGGCCCTTCTCCGGGAACCCTCCGTGAAAGAAATTAGGAGGGTATGTACTCGGAGGAGGGCTTTCTCTGTGGTGGCACCCAATCTATGGAATGCGCTCCCCAGAGAGGTCCACCTGGCGCCGTCGTTATTTGTTTTTCAGCGCCAGGCGAAGACCTTTTTATTTAAGCGTCATTTTAATTGTTAACAGTATTTGCTTATTTATCTGGCCAGGGTGACTTCTTTTATATTGTTATTTATTTTATATTGTTATTTTTGTATTTTATCTTATGTTGTGAGCCGCCCTGAGGCTTCGGCGAATGGGGCAGCATAGAAATGTTTTAATAAATAAATAAATACTTTTCTTTACACAACAAACAACAAGGATCCACTAAGTTATAAATTATGTCAATTAATTATGTCTGACCTCTTCCAAATCTATGATTCTATATCTTTCTTTAAACCAGGACCAGGGATACAGCTGGCATCCCTAGGTGCCAGTTGTGGCCCCGCAGCTCTAGCTGCTGACGCCTAATCTAAATGTTCCAGGAATAAAATACAACTGGGTCACAAAAATGGATTTCTATCTGTTTCTGTAGTGTATGGATGAAGCTCACTGGTTTCTACTTTTTATCCTTGACTCTCAAATACATACCCAAAGTACTCTGGCTATGTTTGCCCTATAACTTCCTTCTGCTTTCTAAGAATACCCTATGAATTATTGTGTTCTAAAATAACTACAGTCTCTCATTCCATAGTCTACAAGAATGCATATTGGTTTATTGTTTCACTACAGCCTCTTTCATTTCCTATTTCTTTTTCAGACATCAAAACATACGCAGTTCTCTTGAAGAAAGAAAAAGAGCTGGGATTTATCAGCTTAGTAAGAATACAGACCTCACTATATATTGTTTGTGAATAGTTTGCAAAGGAAACTTTTGATTAAAAAGGAGAAAAGATGAAATAGGTTTTAGTTGTTGTAATTTTTTTAAATCGTGCTTTGTTGAAACAAGCCAATTTCTTAAACTATTGTTTCCATAAGCCATAGTTAAGATTGACTACAGTTTCCCAGGTTTGCACAACATAGCAAGCTGGTAAATAAAAGTGGAAGGCAACACTTCTAAACAGATCACAGTTACACTGGAAGAGGAGGGAATTCTCACTTAAGCTCATTCTTACATTCATCTTAGCATCTCTTGAAACATGATTTGCAACATGATTCTCAACATATTTATTCAAAAATATCCCACTGATTCCAATAGGATTAATTCATTCTATAGTGTCCAGAGGTTTGCAGCTTTGAATTGAGATGCATGTAGTTATTGCTAGCATTTGAGCACGATAGACCGCTGTTATAAAAAAAGCATCATGAAATATATTTCATCATTGTGTTCTCTGAGAAGTGTAGTTACTCAAAAAGCATTTAGTGCTTCCAGTTACCTATGTTTCGGACAGGTTAAATGGCTAAGACAGTGTGGCCTGCTGGCCTAGAAAGGCAATGTTGGCATGGACATTATCTGATTAGCCATTCTGTCTCCTGTGTTAAAATACTATCAGAGCAGCACGGGAAGGAGGTCCAGATATCTGCTGCAAACAAAGGGGCTTGTTCAAGATAGCCAGTTCGTGGAGACAGGTACTCTGTACTCAAGGGCTAAAGAATATTGAATTGTTTTTTCTTATGATCCCTTTTCTGACAGCAACATGGCTACCGCCTTCTCCCTGCAGGAATATATTACCAGGAACATCCTATGGGAGAATAAATTAACAATGAATCAATACATCAGTTCCTATACCAACTCCTATATCTACCCTAGGAAGTTACCACTAACTTCGATGGGTAGCAAGAGCTTGAAATGCAAAGGAGTTAATTCTGTTTGTAACCTCATTTCTCCTCTTCTTTTTCCCCATGGGAAGTCTGTGGTGTCTTCTTGAGAAGTGGCCCTTAATCACTCTGACATTCCTTCACAGCA